CGTCCTCCAGGCCTTGGTGGAGGTTGGACAGGTGAACAGCCCCTCTGCTTGGGTAATTGTGCTGTAACCATCGCCTCGGGGCAGCTCCAACCCCAGCCTGATGTGCCTCCAAGCAGGCTGGTTTGCATTCTTCCCCAGCTTTTTGGGGGGCCTGACCCTCATTTTCATTAAGCCCCTGTTGCAACATCAGCCAGAGCTCCCAGGAGCCTGGAGGTGGGTGTAGCTGGAATTAAATTCCACTTAAAATCACCTTCACGCTGCCAGGGAGGTGCAATGGGCCACACCAGGACAGGGTCAGGCCCTCATGGAGCTTCTGGAGAGGGACTTTTGGTAAGAGCATGGAGTGGTAGGATGAGGTGGAGATGACCTGAGGGCTGGAGCAGCTCTGGAGCCAGGCTGGGAGAGTTGGGGTGTTGAGCCTGGAGAGGAGAAGGCTCCAGGGAGACCTTAGAGCAGCTTCCAGGGCCTGAAGGGGCTCCAGGAAAGCTGGGGAGGGACTTGGGCCAAGGGCAGGGAGGGATGGGATGAGGGGGAGGGATGAAAAGTGGGAGAGGGAGCTGGAGGTTGGAGCTGAGGAGGGAATTGTGGAGTGTGAGGGTGGGGAGAGCCTGGGCCAGGTTAGCCAGGGAAGCTGTGGCTGCCCCATCCCTGGGGGTGTTGAAGGGCAGGTTGGATGGGGCTTGGAGCAGCCTGGGCTGCTGGGAGGTGTCCCTGAGTTTTAAGGTCCTTTCCAACCCAAACCACCCTATGATTCCATGAATTCCCAGTTTAGGCCTGGCAAGAACAAGTGCCAACAACCCCAGGCTTGGAGTTCTGCTCCCCACAGTGACCTCCACCACGACAACCCCCCCACCTCCTCTACCAACACAAACCCCTCCCTGACTCCCCAGCTCTGGATGTCACCCCAAGTTCTCACTATCTCTATGAGCTTCCCCTTGACCTGAACCCTGCAAAACCCCTGGACAAGACCACGTCCTGCAGCAGCAAGTTCCAGGGAGGCTGTTGGGGCAGAGCCAGGCTCAGAACCCCAGGAACACATTTTCCCTCTCCCACTGAAGGCCCCGAGGCTGAGATCTGCCCTGGGCTGTGTCCTCTTACCCGTGTTGTAGGCGGTGGGCATGGCAGAGAAGGGCAACCCCTGGGTCAGCAAACTGGGAGTCGCCACAGAAACAACTGGTGTGGTTAAAGAGTGAGTTGCTTGGGAGACACCCAACCGTTGTGTGTTCTGCTGGGGGAGCAAACAGAGAGAGAGTTACAACCCTGCGGGGGTTTCTCCTGGTGTCTTCAGGAGTTGTGGCCCCACCAAAACCTCAGTCTTGGTCCCCACGTGTGGACCAGCCCAGGGAGGTGGCCAAGGTTAATGGTGGACTAAACAGGATTGATCCTCAGTGGGACAAAGCAAAGAGGAACCCACACCACTTCCAGATAGTTAGGACCTGTTAATGGTTGGCCTCGATGATCTTAAAAGGTCTTTTCCAACCAAAAGGGTTCGATGATTGGATGACTTTCATTTACAGGCCACTTGGGGTTGCCCTTGGGTCACCTTTCAAGGCGACCAGCAAGTTCCCTGCCTGCATGGAGAGGGAATAACAGCAGGAGGCCTCAGCCTGATCCCTTCTGATGGGAGAAAAAGGAGTCAGTATTTTCCAGAGGACACGTGTGAGGGTGGCTGTGCTGCCCAAGGAGTGAGGAAGATCCAAACCCAGGACCAGTGAAGGTCCAGAGCTGCCACATCCCCTCCCTGCTCTGTGCCTCCAAGGGCAGCTGGAGATGGTGAGCACCAGCCCCAGGATTTTCAAGGCACTCTTGGCATCCTTGAACCTCAAGTCCAGGGCTCAGCAACCTGCCAGCTCAGTGCCCTCAGGGGCTTTGGGTGGCTTGGGCACCAGCAGGTCCCCCGTGGAAAAATCCTGCCCTTGGCCCAGTGCCTCCCCACGTGGTTTTCCAGGCAGTTACGTGGGGTTGGATCTACGGGGTCAGATCCAACCCTGTTTACAAGGCAGATAATCTGGGCTGTCTCTGCTGATCTGATTTAACTCAGACTCAAGAGGCTTGACTCTCCCTCCCTGACTCCCCAGCTCTGGATGTCACCCCAAGTTCTCACTATCTCTATGAGCTTCCCCTTGACCTGAACCCTGCAAAACCCCTGGACAAGACCACGTCCTGCAGCAGCAAGTTCCAGGGAGGCTGTTGGGGCAGAGCCAGGCTCAGAACCCCAGGAACACATTTTCCCTCTCCCACTGAAGGCCCCGAGGCTGAGATCTGCCCTGGGCTGTGTCCTCTTACCCGTGTTGTAGGCGGTGGGCATGGCAGAGAAGGGCAACCCCTGGGTCAGCAAACTGGGAGTCGCCACAGAAACAACTGGTGTGGTTAAAGAGTGAGTTGCTTGGGAGACACCCAACCGTTGTGTGTTCTGCTGGGGGAGCAAACAGAGAGAGAGTTACAACCCTGCGGGGGTTTCTCCTGGTGTCTTCAGGAGTTGTGGCCCCACCAAAACCTCAGTCTTGGTCCCCACGTGTGGACCAGCCCAGGGAGGTGGCCAAGGTTAATGGTGGACTAAACAGGATTGATCCTCAGTGGGACAAAGCAAAGAGGAACCCACACCACTTCCAGATAGTTAGGACCTGTTAATGGTTGGCCTCGATGATCTTAAAAGGTCTTTTCCAACCAAAAGGGTTCGATGATTGGATGACTTTCATTTACAGGCCACTTGGGGTTGCCCTTGGGTCACCTTTCAAGGCGACCAGCAAGTTCCCTGCCTGCATGGAGAGGGAATAACAGCAGGAGGCCTCAGCCTGATCCCTTCTGATGGGAGAAAAAGGAGTCAGTATTTTCCAGAGGACACGTGTGAGGGTGGCTGTGCTGCCCAAGGAGTGAGGAAGATCCAAACCCAGGACCAGTGAAGGTCCAGAGCTGCCACATCCCCTCCCTGCTCTGTGCCTCCAAGGGCAGCTGGAGATGGTGAGCACCAGCCCCAGGATTTTCAAGACACTCTTGGCATCCTTGAACCTCAAGTCCAGGGCTCAGCAACCTGCCAGCTCAGTGCCCTCAGGGGCTTTGGGTGGCTTGGGCACCAGCAGGTCCCCCGTGGAAAAATCCTGCCCTTGGCCCAGTGCCTCCCCACGTGGTTTTCCAGGCAGTTACGTGGGGTTGGATCTACGGGGTCAGATCCAACCCTGTTTACAAGGCAGATAATCTGGGCTGTCTCTGCTGATCTGATTTAACTCAGACTCAAGAGGCTTGACTCTAATCCGGAGCAGCCAGCACACGTCACCCTGTGAAGACTGGGGCAGTGCCCAGCACCAGCCTGGCATTGTCCCCAGGGACATGGGGGGGACCTTCCCCCCAGCTCAGGGGTCCCAGGACCCCTCAGGGGCTGGGCATGACCCCTGCCATGCTCCACGGCCACGCAGGACTCCCTGGGGATAAGGCTGGAGGACACAAGCCCTGTCTCTGCCACCTCCAGAGGGTGACAACACCCTGGATTTGCAGCACCCACACGCCCCGGGTCCCAACCCGGGGAAGGAGATTAACAAGGGCTGTTAATTGCTAAAGCCCCGGGGCCGTCGGAGCAGGTTTTCCTGGCACACATCCTGCTGGCAACCACCCTTGGCTGTGCCCACTGCCCGGGGCTTGAGGACACTGCAGGTGGGCAGGACTGAGCCCTGTCCCTCTCCTGCCTTCACCCCATCCAGCTCAGCAGGATGTGACCCATCCCCTCTGGAGCTGAGGGTGCAGGGCTGGGGGCTGAGCAGGGGTGCAGCACCCACTGCCCCCCCCCTTCCACCAGGAGGTGGGTGTGAGGGGGTCAGACCCAGGTGCCACAAGAAGCTCCCACACTTCCCACAGGCACAGAATCCCACGGTTGGAAAAGATCTCCAAGATCACTGAGTCCAACTGTCCACCCGGGGGAAAGAAAGAGGCAAACAAACCAACCCACCCCCTGGCACACCCCCTAAAAACCCAACCACCACCACCCAACCCACAAAACCACCCTCACACACACCCACTCGAGCCCTGAAGTGACACATCTACACATTCCTCCAGGGCTGGTGACTCCCCCACCTCCCCGGGCAGCCTGGGCCACGGTCTGACCTCTCTCTGGGCAAAAGAATTTCTTCCC